TTATTTAACAAATCTGTTTCGAGTATCTATTAATGCTGATATTAATGTCTTAATTCTTTTCCTCTATACTTACATCCCTCATTTAGCAAATCCTGTTATATATTGTCTGGGGACTGGAGAAATCAAAAACACTCTTCAATCTTTGTTGAAACCAAAAGCTAGCTTTCAAATTAATGACAAAGAGAATACTGTGCAAAAAAAAAAAAAACCCCAAAAAATAAAAACCACAAAGAGGTGAAATAAGCTAGTCTATGCATTAATCAGAATTTAGAAAAAGAAAGCTTAATAAACCCTGTTGTTATCTTTTTAAAATATATTCAGGTTTATCCCATTTAGTGAGAGCTGCCAGAAATTCAACGTGAATTTCACATTTACGGTTAAAATAGCCAAAATGAAAACACATATGATTTGAAGGATTTTCCCTATTTAGCTAATGCTCTGAATTCGTAAATTCACTTTTAATTCCCAGAAATTCTTTACTCTGCCATTCTTACACTGTTATTGTTACACAGTGATTGTTTTATTAAAACTCTATTTTGACTTTAATGACACAACAAAAAAAGTATATTTATTTCCAAATTGTTGTTGAAATATATATTTTGAAATAAAGTTGAAACACGATATATGTGTACAGCAGTATATTATTAAGGTTTTTGTAGATATAGTAACACTATATAGTTATTACTGCCATTTATAATGCACCAACAGATCGCGCAGTGCTGTACAATTAGGGGAAAACATACACATATACACAGACAAATACAAAGGGTAAAGAGAGATCTGCCAATGAAGCTCTATTATACAATGCACTTAGTTAGACAGCCCATAAGCTCACAATATAAAGGATTTAATGGGGATTGGAGAGGTGGCAGGTGGAATTTGGAACATATGGCTAAAGAAAGTTAATGGAGAAACTGCAGGTAAAATGTAAAGTGAATGAGGGGGTCATTGAGTATGATCTCAAACATCTGGATGCACATGCTATACATTTTGTAGGAACCTGGTTGGGTAAGTGGGAAATGCTTAGTTAAAATTAAGTACTGCTTGGTGTTGGGTGCGTGAATTGACTCATAAGGAACAGGATGGAGATGAAACAGTTATATGAAGGTATTTGCAGCCTGGAGGGGCAGGGGGTGGGTAGAGTAATCATTTATGTATGCCATTAAAACCAACCAAATTCTATCACCCAAAATATTAATAACTGTGTACATGACATATTGGTGGAAAACATGCAATGACAATAATACAAACTGCATGCACAGAAAATGACAGCGGCAAACTACAGGTATAAATGGTAACAGTGCTATAGTAACGAATTATAATATGGTAACAAAGTAAGAATAAATGAGGTGGAGTATCTTCCAAACTTCAGTCACTACCTGGAGGTTGCAGTGAGATATAAAATAAAGAGACTCAGTATTGACTGGTTCTGGGTGTGTGGAATGAGGCCTCAAAATTGCAGGGAGATGAATAATAATAGAGAGATTAAGTATTGCTGGTTCTGGGTGTGTGAAGTGAAGCCGGAATGTTGTAGGGAGATGGAAATGGAGAGGTTCAGTATTGCCTGGTTCAGGGTCTGTGAAGTGAGGCTTGGATGTTACATGGAGATAAAAATGAAAAGATTCAGTATTATTTAGTTCTGATGTGTGAAGTGAGACCTGATTTGAAGTGGCCATAGTGTTTGGAATCTGTTTGTGTAGCATTTCCCTATGAAATGCTGCACATATAAAGATTAACCCCTCTGTTATGGATGTGTAACTCTACCTCTGGCTGAGTCAGGGGTACATCATCGGCTAAACCAAAATAATAGTTCAGATCTAGTTAATGTCAACTTTATGCACATTTTGATGCATAGACAACCAACTGATTCGCTGACAGTGGTTACTTGACATTCTAAGCCCATCAATGAGTGACTGGTTTGGATTTCAGATTCTGCAACTTTGCAGATGCCATATGTCATAAATTTGCCTACCAAGAAGATAAGGAGTCCAGCGAGGTTCCAAGAGGGCAGTCCATTACAAAACAGACTAGTGGTTTTTATGGTTGGAGTAGCCCATTAATTTAAACACTAGAGTTGTCTTCTTATTAGTTATCCAAGGGCAATCATGCTTAACCAAATGAAGGATGTTCAATTCACTGGGGAATCATCCATTGCCACCTTAACTTGTTCCACAAGTGGTGTAAGGGGGAATACTCTTTTTTTATTTAGTTGTAGATTGTTAGATCATAGCAAGAAGAAAGTGAGACTTTATCTACTTAGCAAAATTGATATACAGCTCATTTTTTTTTTTTAAGGTGGTTGGATGTAGATATTGCTTAGCACAGCCTGTTGTGATGTATCACCTTTTTATTTGTTTCACTTACCAACTCTTTTTTCTTTCTTTTTTTCCCCACTATCTCAATACATTTTGTATGATTTTAAATTGGCGTGTACCTCTTTTGGCCTTTCTTCCAGTTTTGTCCTGGAGATGGGTCTTGAATATCTGGAGTAATGACTGCATTGGAGAAATGACTGACTCATCTTTAGTAGTTTATTTAGGATGTTTCTTGCCCTAGGCCCAGCCAAATCTATTCCTAACCAACCATATATTATTATTATTATTATTTTTAGCAGGAACTCATAAATGATGCACATGGCATTAGCTCGCTCACCTATTCTTCACTTGTAAACGTAACGACTCATTCTTCATATTAATACACTAAATACTTAAATATACAAACACTAGACTCTTCCAGTTGTGAAATATTGTTCTTTGCACTGGAGAGAGCAATGTCTATACAATAAGTAACTTTCTATAAACAGTTACGCAGAGTATGATCAATATGGTGTGCTTGTTCCAACCCATGGTAACTCACCAAAATATAATGGGAACCACATTTTATTTCCCATGTTGTTAAGTTTTACTGAAACTGTAATACAGTTATTACTAACAAAATTGGATATGAGTCCTTAGTGTCTTGACCCACCAGTTAAGAACTGATGTAGTAAATGTGTTAAACATTGTGTAAAATGAATGAAGCCCCCTTAAAATAATGTAGTATCTGATGGGTGAATAAGAGGCTATGTTCTAAGTATTTCCTGCTGTAAGGAGAAGGAACCACTCTTTATTTCATAACTTGTAATCAGGAAAAGGGAATATTAATATGGATACATTTTCCATGAACCTAGGAGACCCTTGATACAAACATTTTATACATCCCTTTCCATATGGATGGAAAAAATACCCACCTGACTTAGAACTCGATAACCTTTTCAGAAAGATTTTGAAAGTGACATGGGACTGATAACATGCATACCAACCTCACATGAACTGCTGTTTTCAGTGGTTTTTGTTTCATCTGCTTTCAATTGATACCAGTTTATGCACATTGCTATTGATTATAACCAGTATGCTGGAAAATGTATTTAATTTACAAGATTATTGTTTAGTAATCACTGTTCTCTTTTGCCTGTATAGTAACCCCTAGCCCCATCATAATGATGATTAATAGCTGATAATATCATGAACTGGTCAGATATGGTTAGATTGAGTCCACCAGAAAGGATCTGTGTAGTAGAGAAAAAGAAGGTTTAAATGATCATTGAGGTGCAAACATTTGTGACTTTAATAATTCTTAAAATACATTGTAGGATTTTTACACGGATTTTTACACGGATCTTATGGTAACCGCAGCCTTCTAGGGTAATTAAAGTCCAAGACACATCCAGCTCAGTTTTTCCGATTTATTGATGAACACAGGTCTGTAACAAAATGACACTTGCAAGAACACCATCCATCCATCCATCCACCCATCCATCCATCCATTCATTCATTCATTCATTCATTCATTCATTCATTCATTCTCATTCTCTTTCTCTCTCTCTCTCTCTCTCTCTCTCTCATTCTCTCTCTCTTCCCTTCTTTTAAAAGCCTGCCTGCTAATTGACCAGCTACAGGTGAGTTTCAATTAGTCACATCTGTGGAACTCTTAAGTCAAATACAAGTCCTGGTCTGGCTGTTACATAGTAACTAGTGTTATTGAAGCACTGGCCCACCCTGCCCCACCCTGCTTTCCAAATGCTCCGTTTAGCAAAGCAGGCCTGATATATCTTCCCTCAACCACCATTCCTCATTTTTGCTCGCAACATGTATTGGTTATTTTAATAATAGTAGCAATTAAAAAGGATCAATGCTTCACTAGAATACGTTTTCCTATGCATACATTGCATATAGCGTTGGGGTCCTACTAACAAATATCGTTTTTTATAAATATTGTTATTCAACCTTTCAAGTCTTGCTTATTACCAACAATACTCAAGTTAACATTTTTTTTTGGCATAAAGAATTTGAACCCAAATATCTGTAGCTTTTAGCATGCAGCATGCCACAAATTAGGAAGAAATTGTTAATATTTCATGGGGACATTTACTAACCATTGTGGATGCCCAGTGGTCACTAATGCACCAGTTTGCAGAGATTTTAAATGAAGAAACAATAGTAAACACATTTGTCCTTTTGCACTTATTATGCCATTGATCCAAGAGAGAACAAAAATCACATCTGGATAGAAATATACCGTAACATATGGGGTGAATTCCTTCTTCATTGCAAAGAGGCAATCTAAATTCTCATTGGATCAATGAATCAATATGGCTAATATGAATATTAACTGTTATTAAAACCTATCAGTTTATACGCAAATCTCTATCGCTAACCATTCCATATCTGCCAATTAGTATAACGTATTAAAGGGAAATGACATGAACCCAGACCATTTAATCTCAATGAAGCGGCCTGGGTGCCATGCGCCTGTAGTTTAAACCCTACCACTACAGTTTATAGTACAGGGTTTAAATTTCTCTAGTGACAGCCACTACAAGCACTACAAGTATAACTCAGCTATTTAAATCAGATGGTCTCATAGAAATCTGACTGGGGATGAATGAAGATTGCCACCTGAATTTTTTTCTCCTGTATGACCTGTAAATTTCAACTGTATCCTGCCAAATTTTCCTAACTATGGGAAAAACCCAACAAGCCATGGGATCACACAAAGAGGTCTCTCACCCCCATGTTACACCAGTATCTCTCCGCTCAGAAGAGGCTTTCAACGGCATGGACGCTATCTCTCCAACCTTCTCTGCTAACAACAGCCATTTGGCTCAGACAGATAGAGAATGTATGCCGATACTACAGGCTCTGCACACGTGTGCTGATTTGGCAGCCACCAACAGTATTTTACAGGCTTCATTCATGGACAACATTCAGGCCCTCCTTGAGGACTTACAAGGCCTCGGTGACTGCGTGGACCAACCTGTGATCAGTTTCAATCTGCACAAACTCAGTCCTATGACACCATCCAACAGCAAGATGAATACCTCAGGTGCCTGGCATTTGACGAGGATTTGGACAACCAGCGATAACTTGTGCCGCTGAATGCTATCTACTCCTGAGCTGGCTAAAGCTCTAAAATAGGTGAGTAAGAAGGACTGTTATTACTACCACCGTCATCTTCCCATTACAGTTTTACACTATTGGAATTTCTTTCTTCTATCTGCATGCTTCTGCATCATCTGGATACCTGACTTCCTCGGATCCATTAAGGTCTATTGATTTTACTTATCTCTTCAATCAAACTTGGACTATTATAACTCTTACATCTTTTATCAGGACTTTATTTCATTCTTATTCATTTTATGTAAGTACACATGGTTTTAGTTTTTTGGCGCGACCTATATTCTGGTTTTTACTATTCTATTTTTTGTTGATGTGTTTTGAGGGAACATCATACCCTTAGGTTGCGGCCCATCTCCCGTTTAATTCAGCTGTCTATTGGTCTCCAAGCGCTGATCCAACTACCATTTGCACTAGTAAACACCATTGCCATGGATGGATGTATCCTGTCTGCAACAATCTCCAGGTAGGTGGTACATGTCAAAGTAACATCCACATGTATGACTGTTTCCCAGGAGAACATTACCCGGAGTATAATACTGCCTGCCTGGCTTGCCTTCTTCCCATAGTACATTCTGCTGCAAATTCTTCCACAAGTAAAAAGCTCACAAGCACCTGGTCATCTACCTGATCTAAAAGAAAATGCAATTCATCAGCTTAGACAACCTTCTTCCATTGCTCAAATTGATAAAAGAACGTAATACTGGCCATGATAGCAAGGTGTCAGTACACCTGCACCTTTAATGGGAAGGTGGTAAGAACAGAATCACAGAGCAATGGAAGAAGGTTGCCTGGTCTGATGAATCACATTTTCTTTTAGTTCAGGTGGATGGCCAGGTGCATGTGTCATTTACCTGTGGAAGTGATGGCAGCAGGATGCACTGTGGGAGCAGGCAGGTCGGCAGAAGCAGTGGGAAGCTAAATTGCAGGCTCCAAACTAAGGGATGCGGGGCGTCTGAGTCTGTATAAGCACACCTGCTGGGAACACGGATTGATGTGGGGTGACATCGTTAACGTCATGGATCACACGTAGACACAAAGCCTTAATTGACCCTAGATTACTGCTGGAGATCACAGGGCACGGTGCTCCAAAAGGAAATGACGTGTTTCTACACTATGCTTCTTATGCCACGATGAGTTACACCAAAAACATTCTTATTTGATGTATATGTACTCGGCACCCAATCACCAGGTTTCTTTCAGGTGCCCTGATAGCACATGGGACTTTGCCAATGTTAGGACATATGCCCAATGGCCACACAGATGGAGAATGTCCATATCTCCTACCCCCACAGTACGGAAGATCCGTATAACATCTCCATTGGAGACAACTTGTATATACTTTCTTTAATTTTTCTCTGCTTTCCCCTGTTTTATTCCTACCCTTCCCTCTTAACAACCACAGATTCATCTGTTTGCAGTACTTTGTCATGTACCACTGCGTATGTCTGAGAATTCACCTGTCCGCAAGCCTGTATTTACAATTCCATGCTACAACTGAAATCATATGGGTATGCACACCCATGCATCCTGGGGCAATTTCACACTCACACTATACCTCACTTAACATACATAACATCCTGATACGAGCACATAAGCAAAACTCTCTACTACATAACAGATTATGAAAATAGATACTCACAATATACGTGGCTTAAATACGCCACATAAAAGACACATCCTTCTGGAGGATGCTAAACAAAATAAAATACATATCCTGTGTCTGCAAGAGACACATTTTGTGCATAATAAAATCCCTGCATTTGACACCCGAGACTATCCAACCCAATATCACTAAACTTATTCCTCAAAATCACGGGTATCCATACTAATACACAGCTCGCTAACGTTTGAACGGTTACCAATAAAAAAAAGACGCAAGGGGCGGATACTTAATCCTGCATTGTAGAATCAATGATAGATATCTATCTATATCTATTTCTATCTATATATCTATCTCTCTCTATCTCTCTCTCTATCTCTCTCTCTCTCTCTATATATATATATATCTATTTCTATCTATCTATCTATCTATCTTATTCTATCTATTTCTATCTTTTTCTATCTATATCTACTTCTATCTATTTCTATCTATCTCTATCTATTACTCTCACTCACACCCACTGTCTCACACCCACTCTCTTACACTTACTCACTCACAATCACTCTCACCCACACTCACTTACCCACTCACACTCACCCACCCACACTCACTCAGTCAGTCACCCACACTCACTCACCCACACTCAGTCACCTTCACTCAGTCACCCACACTCACTCACCCACACTCACCCACACTCACTCAGTCACCCACCCAATCACTCAGTCACCCACAGTCAGTCACTCACTTACCCACCACACACACACACTCATAAAATAAGTTTACTTACTATTTGAATCCTCCTGCTCGGTCTCCGGTCTTCAGCCTGTCAGCTCGAGCCGACGCTGTGTGAAGGAGATCTTATCTCCCCATTGCCGGCTCTTCGTTGCTGACAGGCTCCGGGGTTACTCCACGCTCACAGTGCCTCCTATCTCCTGTCTGCTAATAGCACTTTGATGTCTTCACCCAAGCGATGTCAAATGTGATGAATGCGAATTAGGCATTCATCAACTCGGAAGTCCCTCTGGTGGCAGTCTGAGTGACTGCAACTGGAGGTGTTCCTAGCTTCCAATGTAAATACAGTGTTTACATGAGAAAGGCTGCAGGGAGCTATAGTTCTCACCAGGGGTCAAGTCCTGGGGAATAAAGTGTGGGAACTCAAGGTCCACCCCCCCCCCCAAAAAAATACTCTTGTATGCATATATAAACGCGTGCACACACACACTGACAGGTGCACACACTCAGACACACACAGACACACACAATCACACACACAGACACACACAGATACACACACACTCACAGACACACACTCAGACACATACTCACAGGCACGCACTCACAGACACACATACTCACAGACACACACACAAACACTCACATACTCAGACACACTCACAGACACACACATACTCAGACACACACTCACAGACACACATACTCACAGACACACACACAAACACTCACAGACACACACATACTCAGACACACACTCACAGACACACACACATACAAACACACTCACAGACACACACACTCACAGACACATACACTCACAGACACACACATACACTCACAGAGACATACACTTGCAGACACATACATACACAGACACACACACTCACAGACACATATATTCACAAACACACACAAATTATTATTATTTTTTAAAATGTAAAAATGTCCACCAAGCCTCCCTACATGTCCCTGGGGTCTAGTGGGGATTCAGTGCGGCAGGCACCTGTCTCCCTGTCAGACGCGGTGAGGGAGCTGTGTTCTCCCAGCTCTGCTCCCTCGCGCGGGCTTTCTACTGATGCCGGGAGCCGGAATATGACGTCATATTCCAGGATCAGCAAACAGAGCATGGGGATCAGAGCTGGGAGAACACAGCTCCCTCGCTGCGTCTGACAGGGAGACAGGTGCCAGCTGGGGGGGGGTGCATCAGATGGCCATTATGACAAGGGAAACACTGGGGGGAATTTGGGGGCGTTCCCACGCGTTCCTGCAGGACGCGAGCCCTGGTTCTCACCTGAACAACCTCATTAAGCTGAAGTTGTTCGGGTGACTAGAGTGTCCCTTTAATCGCAAGATTAAAAGGGGTGTACAATCACATACTACAAACAGGTCTCATGCCACAAGAAATGATGATGGCCCACATAGCAACACTGCCTAAACCGGGTAAACCCCCCACAAGTGCCAAAACCTGCAGCCTTATTAAACACGGATATCAAGCTCATAGAAAAAATATATGCCACAAGTCTAGGAACTGTTATACCAACGCTAATAAGCGATGATCAGGTGGGGTTTGTTAAAGGTCGTCAGGGGGCGGATGGTACGAGAAAATTTGTAAAACTCATGCACATGTTACAGAGAGCAGTAAGACCCAGTGTACTTCTCTCCTTAGACACTGAGAAAGCCTTTGACAGGCTACACTGGGACTTCCTTACATCAGTTTTATGGAAGTTTGAACTTCAAGAAAGATTTTTAACCTTAATCTCAGTATTGTACACAGACCCAACAGCACGAGTTGTCATTTGAAGTTGTGAATTTGACTCATGCCCATTCTCAATCTCAAATGGCACCAGACAGGGTTGCCCCCTGTCATCCATATTGTAAATACTAGCTCTGGAGTCTCTTACACAACTCATACATACAACCGACACTATAAAAGGTGTAAAAGTAGGGGACAGGGAATATAAGGTGACATAGTTCGCAGGCGACATGATGGTATTACTAACTAGCCCAGAAACCTCCATGCCGCATCTGCAGCAAGTCCTACAGCCTATGCTCCTACTACAAACTAAATGTAAACAAAATGTAAAAAAATTACAAGATACATACGCCTTCAACTGGAAGCAGGACCACCTCACCTTTTTAGGAATAGCCTTCCCTGCATCTAGACATAACTAATACTCAGCCAATTATGTAAACCTACTCAAATCTATAAAAGCTCAAATTCTAAGTTGGAAAGGGAAATTTGTTTCAGGGTCAGGCAGGATGGCGGCAATTAAAATTCTACTCTTGCCAAAACTGCAATTCATGTTTTGCACATTACATATCCAGATCCCAAAACAATACTTCAAAGAAGCACAATCTGTCATAAATAGTTATATTTGGAATGGGAAAAAACCTAGGGTAGTGGCAAAAACACAATATAGACACTTTCACAAGTGAGGAATGGGTATGCCTAACCTATTGCACTATTACACCACAGCTCTAGCGGGAATCATACTTGCGGTCCTCACCACGTGGAAATACCCGTTTGGAGCCAAATAGAAAACTCACACATGGAGGGAATGCAGTTTGCCTCTTTGGCTTGGATACCCAAACCATTTAGACCACTTTAAGAACATATTTCCCACAACAGCAATCACATGACAAG